CTGCCTTGTCGGGGCTGGGGGGTCTTACAGAAGGCTTAGCGGTATTTTTTGCTTTCCATTCAGCCACCTAGGGCTGCCGACGGGTTTTTCTCACTGAGAGTGCCTTTCCCAGCTGCTTCATTTCCTCCCCTGTGCCCGACTTCAGCGTGCTCTCAGCGAAGAGCCTCCTGCCCGTGCCGGTGCCCCTGTGCGAAGGTTGCCTGCTGCAGCACGTGCTGCCGGACACCCTGCCACGGTCCCCTCCTGTCTGCGCAGGGACCCCTCCCTGGTGGCATGTCCCCACCCAGTGCTGCGAACGCCAGCCTGCTCCGGAGTCGGCTGCAGCCCCATCCCAGCGTCCCCTGGATGTCAGGGAATAGGCAGTGAAAGGGCCTCCTTGTCCTGGCGAGGTGGTGGGCGGATGAAGGGGGCTGAATGGGGCCACTGTGTACCAGGCGGCGGTTGGGGGACGTGTTGGGGGGGGTCGCTTCCTGCTACTTCGCCAGACTGGGAGAATTAAACCTGAAAGTCATTGTGAGTGCGACAGCTGGGGGCCGTGGTGGGGAGGGGGACACAACCAGCCCTCTTGCTGGCTTCAGCAAGCTGTGTGCGGCTTGGCTTCCCCAGGGAGGGCAGCACGGGCTCTCCTGCCTGCCTGCTTTAGAGTAGTATGACTGGCAGGGGTGGCAGGAAGGTGCTTCCCATTTCAGACCTGGCTGCGGCTGGCCTCATGGTTGGGGTGTCTGGTGGGTCACGTCCTTGCTAGAGTTGGGTTGTGCAGCCCTGTTTCCTGCTTTTAGCTGTGCTCAGCCTTTTGAGAGCATTTGTTTTGAGCTGGACTGGCCAGCTTATGGGAAGGTAGGGTCTCCTTTGGTCTCAAGTTGACAGGGGACCTCATTAAAATGCTCTGTAGTGCCTCTGACACAGGTGTAGTAGTAGCTGGTGACTAGAGTAGTGGGGTGATGTGTTTTGTGCATGGCTGAAGAGGCTGAACTGCCCGGGAGCAGTTCCTGCAGAGGAGCTGAGGTCGGTGCCATTGGTTACAACAGGGAGGGTGCAGGCTGGGGTGGGTTGCAGTGCCCTAGAGACCATACATTGTCTTCTTGCAGGACCCGGTACATCAGCACAGAGCTGGGGATGCGGCAGCGGCTCTTCGTGGGTGTGCTGACTTCCAAGAGCACCCTGAACACACTGGGGGTAGCTGTCAACCGCACGCTGGCCCATCGCCTGGAGCGCCTGGTGTACTTCACGGGCACACGGGGCCGCAAGGTGCCCCACGGCATGACGGTGGTGACACACAGTGACGAGAGGCCCATCTGGAACATGTACCAGACCGTCAGGTACCTTCTGGACCACTACGTGAACGATTTTGACTGGTTCTTCCTGGTGCAGGATGATACCTACACGGAGGCGCACCGCATCAGCCGCCTGGTTGCCCACCTCAGCATTGACACCCACCTCTACCTGGGTCGTCCTGAGGAGTTCATCGGTGGGGACACTGAGGGACGTTACTGCTATGGAGGGTTTGGCTACTTGCTGTCCCGCAGCCTCCTCCTGCTCCTGCAGCAGCACCTGGAGAGCTGTCGCAATGACATCCTCAGTGCCCGGCCTGATGAGTGGCTGGGCCGCTGCATCATTGACTACACAGGTGTCAGCTGTGCTGAGGAACACGAGGTAGGTCCTGCAGCAGAGATGGCTGGATCCTAGCCCAGTGTTTTCCCTCCTCCCTGTGGGCTCTCTCAACCCTGGGAGGACTAGCTGTTGCACCCTGACATCCTTTGAGCTTGCTGTGCTGGCATCTGGTGGTGTGGGAGTACAGGTTGGGGCTGGCTGTGACCTATCTCTCCTGGCTGGCACAGGGTCTGCATTACCACTATTTTGAGCTGGGGAAGAACGCAGACCCTGAACGGGAGACCGACCTCCGTTTCCAGACCGCCTTCACTGTCCACCCTGTGCTGGATCCCCTCCAGATGTACCGCCTGCACAAGTACTTTGCACAGGTGGAGCTTGAGAGAACCTATCAGGAGATCCAGCAGCTCCAGGTGAGACCAGGCTTGGATGGGAGGTATCGGTTCTGTTTATTATCCCAGTGGGCTTTCTGGTTTCTCTGTGGGATTCTCACCTGATCCTCTTGTTGGACAGCATCAGCTGAGCTCATGTGGCTACAGAGGCAGTGGTGCTGTCTGGAAAGCAGCTTTGGACCTAGGTGGGTCCTGGAGATGATGAGGTGGTTCAGGGTGATGAAGCCAGAAGGGTGGAGAGGTCTGTCACAAAGGCTGGATTGGCTGGGGGAGAAAACCTGAGGTGCTGAACAGGAGTCTGGTTGAGGGCAGAGTTGTTCTGGCACTGCTTTTTGAGCCAGCTCTGGCTAATCTCTGTGTATCAGAAATCAGCTTGAGTGCTGCCAGAGCTGGAAGACCTGCTTGTGCCTGCCTTGGCTCTCACTCCCCCATCTCTTGTCTTGCAGATGGAGATCCAGAACGCCAGCAGCCTGTCTGCGGATGGGGACCACATCGCCACATGGCCCATTGGCATCCCACCCCCATTCCAGCCCAAAACTCGCTTTGAGGTGCTGCGCTGGGACTACTTCACAGAGGAGCAGGTCTACGCCTGTGTGGATGGCTCCCCCAAGTGTGAGCTGCATGGTGCGGATCTGGCGGACGTGGCCGATGTGGTGGCCACGGCCATGGAGGAGCTGAACCGCAAGTACCAGCCAGTGCTCCACGTCCGCAAGCAGCAGCTGGTGAATGGGTACCGGCGCTTCGACCCCACGCGCGGCATGGAGTACACGCTGGACCTTCAGGTGGAGGTGGTCACCCAGAAGGGGCACAGCCGCTCCGTCACTAAGCGAGTGCACCTGGTGCGGCCCCTCAGCGAGGTGGAGATCATCCCCATGCCCTATGTGACAGAGGCCAGTCGCATCAATGTCATCCTGCCGCTGACGGCTCATGACCGGGACTACGCTGCTCGCTTTCTGGAGGCTTATGCGGCAGCCGCTTTTGAGAGCAGTGAGAATGCAGTGCTCACCTTCCTCTTCATCTATGACCCCTTTGAGGCCCAGCAGGTCACTCAGAATGACATCTTTGCCTCTGTGAAATCCCAGATCACCGAGTATGAGCGCAAATATGCAGAGGTAAAGATCCCGTGGATCAGTGTTAAGACGGATGCACCCTCCCAAATCAAGGTCATGGACATTATCTCCAAGAAGCATCCTGTGGACACGCTTTTCTTTGTGGCTGGCGTGGGGACAGAGGTCACCATTGACTTCCTTAACCGCTGCCGGATGAACACCATAAACAACTGGCAGGTTTTCTTCCCCATCCACTTCCAGGGCTACAATCCAGCCATTGCTTACCACAACCAGGTGCCACCCACGACGCTGGACCTGCTGAGGGACATGGGGCGCTTTGACCGTGACGTCTTCCATGAAGCCTGCTTCTACAACGCCGACTACATGGCAGCACGCACCCGCATGGCGGGGGACGTGCAGGAGAATGAGGACATCCTGGAGACCCTGGACATCTACGACATGTTCATCAAGTACTCCAACCTCCATGTCTTCCGGGCTGTGGAGCCTGCCCTGCTGCAGCGCTACCGGCACCAGGCGTGCAACCCCCGGCTCAGTGAGGACATCTACCACCGCTGTGTGCAGAGCAGCCTGGAGGGTGTAGGCTCTCGCTCCCAGTTGGCCATGGTCCTTTTTGAGCAGGAGCAGGGGAACAGCACCTGAACCCTGGATGGTGGAGGGGCTGGCCCTGCCATGTTATGCCTGCCTGCCCACTCCACTTCTTCAGCCCAAATCTGTCTTCCATCTGCAGTGTCTGCAGAGATTGCTGGTGTCCAAGCTCGTGACTTGCCCCACTGGGGCTCCCCAGGCCGGGGTCTGCCAGCCCAGGGTGCCTGGGTCTTTCTCGAGCAGCCATGGCTGTGCAGACCCCAGGCAGGATGGGGTGAGAGTCACTGAGCTGCAGGCTGGAATGCCTGGCTCCTCATCCAGAGGTGGTGGCTGCTGTCCTCATCCCTCTGTCCTGACCCTGCTGCTGGGCACTGTGGAGATGAGCTGCCCTGTCTCTTGCTGTCCCCCCTTAACTGGAGGAATGTAGACCCAAAGTCTCCCTTCTGCAGGGCCGTGACTGCCACAGGACCTGGAGTGATCCCTTGTAGTTTCCCCAGTGTCCTGGGACAGGACTGTGCCCGTTGCTCCTTTGGAGCATTGGCCTGGTTGTACAGGGAGGAACGTCCCTGTGCCTGCCACAAGCTTGGACAGTGGAATGGGGCACATCCCATCCCAAAAGAGCAATAAGGATGTTGGTTTTGGCATTTTGCCACTTGGCAATGAGCTGGAGTGCTCCTGGCTGGTTGGAGTGTGAAGAACTTGGGCCCCTGGGGCTGGTGGGTGTAGGGGGTGCCAGAGGGGATCCTGCTGATTTCACGTACCATGAGCTGCTCCCCATGGGAACCATGACCCAGGCCGCTTCGGCCTTCGCAGTATTGATAGGACGTCGGAGGTCACAGCCCTCAGACGAGAGCCTCCTGACAGAGGTGGGATCCCTCCCCACTGTGGGGCTGCCCTCAGGGTCGAGGGACATTGTGCCTGACACTGATGGGCATGGCAGAGGGCTTGGCTGTGCATCTCCTAAGGAGAAAGTGACTGAGGAGCCGCTCTCTGCTCCTGGTTTGTATTTAATAGGGGAAAAGGAGGGGGGATGGGGGGTGCATTTACACTAATAAAATGGAGAGAAATACTGGTGAGTCTGGCTGATTCTCTCTTGAAGCAACTATGGGTGTTCTGCTGGGGGTCTCTATGGTGGTAGGTGCTGGGTGCTTATATAAGTTCTGTCTGCACCTGGCTGGACAGATTCCTTACAGAAATGCTTCTTTCCCCAAGAACTTGCAACATCCTTTACCTGAGCAGGGAGATGCCTGCTTCTTCTTGAGGAGGCTGAGGGAGCCCATTGCCTTATGCACAGGCTGGCAGATGTTGTGCCAAGCAGACACATGGAAATACCTGCTTGAACCCCTGTGGCTTGCAGCAGGAGTCCTACACTTCCTCTGATGCTCATGGTCTCTGGAGCTGTCCTGCTGTAGCTGCCTGCTGCCATCACTGATGGTATGGCAGGATGCTGAGCTCCCTGATGTGGGAAATCTGGTGCAACAGGCTGAGTGCTGTGCCTTTCCTGTTGCTGCAAACTTGTGGTCCCACTGACCAGTCCTCCTCAGACCTGTCTATGGGTAGAAAAACACCAGTGAAGGGCTGGTGCAGCTGTGTGTTCTCCCACATCTGCTGTCTCTGTAACAGCCTTTGTGGTCTGTACATGAGTAACAGGGGACTCCTGGCCCATGCCAGAGCAGAGGCTGGCTGCTCAGGTGAGGTGAGCTCTGCAGTCCAGGATCTGGGATCAGCTCTGAAGGCAACTCCCAGGCCAGAAGCACTGTGTTCAATCACTGGTGTTGGATCTACTCTCCTGCGTTACTCTCACTCTTTTTTGAGCTGTTTTACATCTCAGGGCTTCTCAGCAGTTGTGTTTTCCAGTTCTTAGTTGGGTAGAGCACTGTGGTCCTGTCCTGGACTGTTTCATCACCAGAGCTCCTATTTACATTATGAGGCGTGAGGACTGTGACCCCTGCCCATGGTGCCTGCTCCAGGCATGATTTTCGTGACTCCGTGTGTCCTTCCCACCAGCCCTTTACTCATCATGTTTTATTGTGTCTCATGAAATACATGTATCAAAGAGACACCCCCAAGAAAATTAACTGAACCTACTCTCTATTACTTATCAAGGCTGCTAGTGCTCAGCAAAACTCATGGAGAGCCCCTAGGTTCTGTGGTGTGCCTTTTCCAAGGATACCTCATTCATCTCTTCCTGTTCCAGTCTGTATCCATGGTGTAGGAGTGTATATGTTTAAATATAATTTTATTATATTTCAGACAGTAACTGCTAGCTTGTTCTGAGTACTTCTATTTTTGATCTTCCCTAAGCATATCCTTAATTCCCTTCAAGTGTAAATCTGGGGCAGAGGGAGCTAGGCAAATGCAGGTGTGTTACAGATACAGTTATCCTCTGAAAAGCAGACCAAGTAGTAAGATGTGATTAGGCATTAGAAGAGTATCCAAATGGTAATAAAGCAGCTTCAAATCAAGTTGGCTGTGAAAAAAAAAACCCCAGGATTGTCATTTAATTATCATGAGACGGTCTGGATAAAGTTGCTCTTGGCTCACCACTGTTTACCCAGACCGAGTTAGAGGTATTTGCATACTTAACACTCTGTGCTATCAATACCAGCAGAGGCTTCCTGCTCTGACATATGTATGAGCAAATGACAGTGCTTTTGGCACTCCCAGCATGCTTACTGCTCCCTTTTCAAGGGAGCTGGCAGAGTTTGAAGTTGTTTTAGTGTTTGCCACGCTATTTGCAGCATCAAAACATGATGACACCCCAAAGAAGGATATGCAAAACTTTAGGCAGGGGGTTGGTGACACAAGCAAGGTGAGTGCTGGCTGTGAAGTGAGTGCCATCTGTGCTCCCAGGGATGTGGCAGAGACCTGTGACAATAGGGACATGGGCACAGGTGCACTCTGCCCCTCCCCTGCCCTCATTGGGCTGGCAGGTGCAGGCAGGGTGCCAGACTGGGACAGTGACACCTTTGCAAGGGGCGGGAGGAACAGCTCTGGGTGCTGATGTGGGTGGCTGAGAAAACAGAGATGTTCTGTGATCCCTGATCACTACTTTCATACAATTTGTGGATTTTTGCACTTAACCAGTTGTGGAGGCAGGGCAGTGAAAGGTTTTACAAATGAGGCAGGAGAAAATTTGTCTCTTGTGTTGTAGGCTTCTGCTTTCCTTGTGGAAATTTTCTAAGTGTTGCTGGCTCACCACAGCAATCAGGAGAGACAGAGCAACTTCCTCTTGGAAAGCTTTTCAGAAGAGAGAGTGAAGGGGTAGTTCAGAGCACTCTGAAGCACAAGAGGGAATGTCTGAATACACTGGGCCTGGGTAGGCACCTGCCTTCCCTCCTGCCTCCTCTCTTATTTCTGCACTGTGGCAAGGAAACAGACTTAAATGGGAAAATCCAAGCTACTGCTGTTCTCCCCCACACCCACCCCCTGCCCTGTAGTTAGTTTTCCTGTGTATGAAAACACAACAGTAAGCCTGTGAGCAGGGAAGGCAAAACCTACTTCTCTAGTACTGCTTGGGTCACTTCAGGCTGTGCTAAGCTCTGTGGCAAAGCTACTTCAGCCCCAGCAATATTAATCAGTTTGATGGCTGACCTTTGGGAGGATATGGGAATTGTGGCTGTGCCAGGAAAGAGCAGGAGGGTGAGAGAAAATGCAATGCCCTTTCTTCCCTGTGCTTTCTTTGGGAAGGGACCAGTGGTGCTTGTCCTGCAGGACCAGCTCCTGACCACAGGCCAGGACCCAGCTCCAGCAAACATTTCCTCCTGTCTCTAAGTGAAGGCAGAAGAAGCTGGTCTGCTTGAGGAGGAGCAGACAGGGAGGTGCCAAGCTGTGCCTGCATCCAAACGCCTTGGATGTCCAACAAACTGCTTAGCCCCTCTGGAGTGTGTGAGGGGCTTTGGTTAGGGCTTTTTCTGTACAAGCTCAGGGAAATCAGAGCATTCCAATGAAGAAGGAAAGCTGTAGGTACAGGCAGAGCTGCTGTTAGTGTGTGCCTGCCTGCAGGGGTTTCCTTCCATGGGGTGTCAGCATATCTGGCTGTGCCCAGGGATGTCCCCTCTGGGTCCACACCACCCCAGCATTGGCAGAATGCAAGACCCTGAAGCTCTGGTACTGGGGGAAGATGCAGGCAGGCTGCTTGGACTTCTATTTCAATTGCCTCCTTGGTTTTCCCAGCCTCCTTGCCCACTGTCAGGGGCCAAGTGCTGGAAAGCGCGTGCTGTGTGTCCCTTGCCTGGCCCAACTGATTGGCACCACCAGTCCGTTTTTCCAGCAAGGGAGTCATGGGCAAATGATCAAAGAGCAAAGCAGTGAGCTTGGCATTTGCACGTTATATAGACATGCTGAGAGTCACTCCTTTCTCCAGGTGTTGCCTGTCATCATCAGCATCTCCAGGCAGGAGATGCTTGGGGAGGAGGTGACAGAAGTGAGGCCACATGTCCCATTGCATTTCAGGGCTTACTTCAAAACCCACTGCTCCCAAGCTGGATGGTTTTTGTTTTTTTTCTTTTGAAAGGCAGTTTTTCTATGAGAACAGCTGTAATTACTGTTCATGGCAGTGGAGGCATGTTGGATAGTGCCCAGAGGAGATGCCTGCCCCATAGATGGAAGAGATCCTTGCTGCCTGCTCCATCCAGGTGCCTACTCCCTGCTGCCACTCCTGCTGTGTCTTCTGGGGTTGTCACCTCTATGGCGACAGAAGCTGTCGCCAGCACAGCCGGTCCTGCTGCGAGCAGGTACTTGGAATTTGTCCAGAGCACTGTGCTCATTAAAATTAAGGGCCTGTTTCACTGTAGTGGATCCCCTTCTAATTATGCCCCAGCTATTTCATGTGGTTCATTACAAGTGTTTCAAGCAGTGCTGTGCTGGGTGAGCCCCAGGTGGCAGCATCTCCATCTCTGGCGATGACCAAGCCCCTTGTGGCCCTTGAATAGGCACAGCAGGAGAGGGGGCACCCAGGAGCCACAGCATTGGGGTTTGTGGTTGACCCTGGGGCACTAAACCTGGGTTGTCCCACTGGTCCTCCTCAGCCCAGTGCCATCTGTGCTGGGACATGAGGCATGTCACAGGCAGGGGGTGGTGCTGGGTTCATGTCATCTGCCTGTCCTGTTTGCAGAAGTGGGAGACCCTACAGGAGCTGTCACTTCCAGATAGCACCTGCAAGTTATCAAATTAAAGAATAGAGGTGCCGAGAGTAACAGAGAAAAATACATGTCAAATCTTCATTAGGTCATCACTACAGGGCTCCTGGGAATGATCCTGAGGCTGCTTTGTTGGCATAAAAGCCAGGATGGGCCATGCATGAAGCTCAGCCTTTCCTTCTGCCATGTTTCACTCATGTGCATAGTGCTGGAGGAGCTGGAGGATACCCTGAGGAAGGACCTCGTGGGCTCACCACACAATCTTGCTCTTTGCTGAGCTCTTGTGACACATCTTCACTGTAGAGCAGGAGGTACCATGAGCTCCCAGTTACTGTCTTGGTGCTGATGAAATGATGGGGCGTCCTGGAGGGGCAAATGGGTCAGAATCTGGTGGCAGGGACAGTCTCATTCCAAAGGGATCCAATCCTCTTGTTGATAACAAGATGTGGAGGATGTAGCTATTTCCCTGCTTTTCCCTTTAGCACCCAAGCTCAGTGCTCTTCTCTCTGGGCATGGTGTGAGCTGTGGGACGTGGCCCTGTGTCCCAGCTAGCTCGGGCATTTTCAGCCTTCACTGGTTTAGAGGGAAATCTGTGGTGCCTGGTGCTGGCAGCCTTCACCAAGAAGTCAGCTTCTGTTTCCTACTGTGTCCCCTTTGTGCTGCAGGGTAGCTGAGGCAGATGGAGAAGGCAGGAACTGGAGGAGCACCTCTGCCAGTGAAAGCCCCAGCAGGGCTCCCCTTCCCCTCCACCCATCCTCTGTCCTCCCCTGTTTGAGTTTCACCCTGCAGCCCTCGTATATGAGCACAGGGCTGTAAAGTGTTCCCTGTGTCCCACCACCACCTCTCCTCTGGGGTGGTGTCTCACCCATCTCTGCCCCATCAGCCCTCGCAGGCATCTCTGGACCTACTTGTGCCTCTTTATTAGGGAGCATTTGTACATTTATAAAACAGTGACGCACATCTCTCACATTCACACCAGCACGAGGATGGCTTGTGCTGGCCCTCCCACCATGGTGCCCATGCCCACCCCGCTCAGGCCTGCTGCTCTGCCTGGCAGGAAGGGGACACATCCTGCACCCCCCACTTGCCGCAGGGGACCTTGGTGTAAGGCTGGCTGGCATGGCCATGGCACGTTCCTGGGATAACGTGGCACCCCTCTGGGGACCCTCCTGCTTGCAGGTTGGCTTATGGGAACCCCATGGGGAGCCAACACGGGGTGCTCTGGAGGGCTCCCTGGGGAGAAGCGGGGTGGCTGGCCTCCTGGGAGGCTCACTGTATATCCCCCCACGCAGGGGAACATGGGGCACCACGCAGCTGGGTGTTTGCACCCACAGGGAACATGCTTACACATGGGTGCATACTTCAAGGGAGCTGTTGGACCATGCATACCCAGAGCCAGGGCTGCTGGTGCCCTGGTCCCTGCCCTGCGCCTCCCATGTGTGGGCTGCAAGGATGATGGCTCCTCCTGCATCTATGGCTTTGGGCACGGCACAGCATGGCCACGTTCCAACTGTGGGCACCAGGGATGGGGACCAAACCAGCAGGGCCAGAGGCTGCCTGGCTCAACCCCAGCCTTCCCCAGAGGTCCCAAATTCCTGCCCTGGGGTCCCCCTCTGCCAAGTGTGTGTGTTGAGGGGGGCTTTGCCAGCTCGCCCCCCCTCCTGAGATATTTTGGGGCAGTTTGCCCTGCGCTGGTGTCTGCTGCTACAGTGGAGGGGGTGGAGGCAATGTACAACAGGACAGGGGGAGTGCTGCGGGTCCTGCCATGCGTCCTGCCATGGGTCCCGCCATCTCAGGGCAGGCAGGAGGACTGTGGATGCCAGTTTTGGCCAATGCTCCGGCCAGCGGGTTGGACTGTGGCTGTCCGGGTGGTGCTGGGCACAGAGCACCCTCCTAACCATGTACAGTCTGGGGGAGGCACAACGGGTGCTCAGCACCTGGGGCTGGGAGCATGGCAAGGGGTACGTGCACGGTGCAAAAGAGCAGCAACAGGCAGGGGAGTGAGGGCAGGACCTACCGTGCTGCCTGGGCTGTGCCAGGCAGCTACACCAGGGGATAAGCCACTCTGGGCAATACCTGGGCAAGGAGAGGATGGGTTCACAACAGATTGGGGCAGGAGACAAGGGGAGGCAGTAGGTTTGCAGTGCTGAAATGACTGGGGATTATTGGGGGCCAACACTGGAGTGGCAGGGGGAGTCACAGTGCAGGGGTCTGGCTGGGAACAGTGATGGAGGGGCTGCAGCCCTGAGAGACTGCGTGAGGTTGGGCAAGGGTAGGCAGATGTTCAGGGGTGTGTCACAGTGGTGGTGGTGGTGCCAGGGGTCAAGGTGGTGCCATGCAGGTGTGGCTGCAGTTGGGGTGTCCCTGGGCTGGCCACGGGGGCCATGTTGCTCAGAGGGGTGCCCTGCAACGCTGCCCTGCCCTGCAACAGGAAGGGGGAGAGGTGGTTCCCGGGCAGAGGGAAGCTGTTCCAGGCATGTCTCTCTCCTGGGGAAAACCATGCAGGGCAGAGACCACCACCCAGGAGGGGTCAGCAGGGGAGGGTTGGAGGGGCTCACAGGAACCTCAGCTTACCCCCTTCATGTTCTGCAGCACCAGGGCCTCTCTGGCCCACACCTGCTGCTCCCCCAAACCCCCTGGCATGCCCATGCCCCTCCACGCTGTGTGCTTGAAACTGGGCTGAGCCCACGTGCTAGGGGCAAGCAGAGGGGATAGGCAAAAGGGCCGGGGGGCTGCTCCAGTGCCGGTGCTGAGGCAGCTCCAGTGGCATCACTGGGTGTGGCTGGTCCTGGCAGTGGGGTGGGGGAGGCAGGGCCTGTGCCCACCTCACCCAGTGCCGTGGTCCCTCTCCATGAGAACGCTGGGGAGGGGGGTGACAGGGGGCTGCCCCCCAGTCCCAATCTTGCCTAGCAGGCGAAGTCCTCGAAGACTCCCTGGTGAGGGTAGTGGTGGCGGTGGTGGTGGTTGGGCAGGATGCCCGCGTTGTAGGCGCCCTCCACGTGCCGACCCAGTGTCTCACAGGGGCTCTGTGGGGATGGCAGTCAATAGTGTGGGCACAGACTCCATGCGCCCAGCCACCTCCCTAGTCCTCCCACCCATCACAGCCTGTGCAAAGGAGCTCCCCGGGGGACACCCAACTCCCTGCCTCCCTGTGACTGCGCTGACTCTGCAGCCTAAAGCCACCAAATGCAGAACCACACAGACTCTCGATCTTGGGATGATGTCCCTTCCCCTCATGGAGTGGGGGCAGACACATGGCTAGGCCCCATCCTCGAAGCCTCCAGGCAGCCCAGCCCTGCAGGGGTACCTGGTCCTTCATCTCCTCCAATCCCAGTGTGGCGATGCTGCCCGAGGGCTTCTTCAGAGGTGGCTTGGAGCGGCGCAGGACCCGGCTCACCTTATCTCGGATCACCTGCGTGCAGATGAGGGGTCAGACCCAGACCTGCACACAGGTAGCACTCTGTGTGTGGACACACAGTCTACACGGATCTGCTGCCTTCTCCCCTTCTCACCTAGGGACAGTGAGACAGTACCTTGGCCCTCCCTGTCCTCAGGTCATTGAGGAATGCTGGAAGACCCATTCTCCTCCCACTGCCTTCCTCTGGGTGTTCCCTAATTTGGGGCTGTTATAGACCTCAGGATTGGCCATACATTTTATGCCCTCCCCAGGAAGCCTGTCTCTGCACCCACTGCCGAGACACATCCCTGAAGGCTAAGCACACCTCATAGATGTAGTCCAGGATCTCCAAGATGGTGAGGATGCTGGCACCGATGAACAGGCCCATCTGCCCCCCGATGTCCCCTGGGGAGGAGGAGGGGAAGATCGTCACCAGGAGATGCTGTGCAGCCCACTGGAAGCCTGAGGTGGGCCAGCAGGGCAGTGGGCAGTGCCAGGGCTGCTGGATGGCGGGGGACAGGGCAGTCATGGGGCAGGGTCAGCAGGACATGGAAGGAATGGGAGACATGCGGGATAAGGGACAGTCAGCAGCATTTCACCCTTCAGCCAGCCTGTGGCTGGCTGCTGCTCTGGGTGATCCCTCCCCCACCAGACCCACGTCTTCCCAGGGCTGAGACCCAGAGCTCCGCGCCTTAGGGCCCCACAGGAAGGCGAGGGGAGTCACCGAGAAGCCCAGCAAGGTCATAGGCTTTCTTCTGCTCAATGGCTTCATAGTTGAGTGCCTCAAAGAAGATGTCCAGCACCAGGAAGTTCTCCCTGTGGGGACACCATTGTGCTCAGCAAAGAGGGCTGGTCATTGACTCTCCTTCACCACTTCCCACAAACCTCCCGTGTCCCCCAGCCCTACAGCACCCTGGTGCTCCCAAGGCCCTCGTGAATTATTCAGGCTGGTGCAGTGGGGACATCGATGGGGCATGTCCCAGGCCAGGAGAGACAGTGGGGTGGGCAAGTGCTGGGAAGAGGACAAGTTGGGAAGAAGCTCTAGTGTAAACCCCCCTGCACAGGGAATGCTGCAGAGACTAATATACCAGAACCCTCTCTCTGCATGCTGCCAGGAGTGGAGTGAAGTTCCCCAGGTCCCCAGCCCCCTGCCCACCCCCTGGAATACCCCAGTGCTGGTGGCAACTCACCGAATGTAGGTCTCATTCTTGTTGTACTTGCGGGCGAGGTAGCGCGCTGAGCCCTTGTTGGGGATGCGGACCATGGAGATCTCCTTGCCATAGCGTGTCAGGTTGCATGGTGTGGGGCAGCTGCAGCGCTCCTGGCTGTCCTCCACTGCTGCATCTGGGGACAGACACCCGTTGGCACAGCCAACAATCTCCAGCCCTCTCCCTGGGGCACTCAGCCAGCCCCTAGACGCCCACCCACTGCCGCACCTACCCAGCGTGTGGTCAGCACACTCGATGTACACATTAGGGGAGCAGATGGACTCATTGCCTGTGGAGAAACAGGTGGTTGGGAGGGGGGAGTCTGGCCAGATTCTGGCCCCCACTCTTGACTCACTCCCTTGGAGGTAGTGGGGCAGGGTGCAGAGGGAATGGGGATGAGTGACCCTTGGGTGCAGGTTGGTTGAGGCAGATATGGCCCAGGTACAAGGCAAACAGGAAAGGGGCTGACCTGTGGTGTAAGGAGGGTAGGACAGAGGCCGACCCATTATGTGGAGAGGAGGGGGTGGTCCTTGGGTGGAGAGGGATGGAGCTGGGAAAATCCTTTGGGTGCAGACTGTTGGGGGGCAGAGGTGATTTTTGGGTGCAGACTACAGGGAGTTGGGGCAACCCCAGCAGGACTGTTGGGGCAGTCTTCACACCATTATGCATCCCCCTCACCTGGCATATGGACCATTCGGCAGTGGCAGCTCTGCACCACAGCCTCCTTCTCACACTGGAGGCGGCAGGCAGCAATGCTGTAGGTGTCATAGCCAGGCAGCAGCTGCTCCCCCTGCATGCTGGCCCGGCAGTTGCCCCATGGCTGTGGCAGATAGGTGAGCTGTTGGGGTGAGAAGGGCGTTGTTGCAGGGCTGTGCTGGGCTGAGTGCCTGCAGGCACCTCCCTGGGGATGTGGGGCATCCTGCCTTACCCGCTGCTCCTGGCAGGACACAAAGGTCTGGAAGCCAGGCGAGACACCAAAGCCCAGCTGATGGATATAGGGTGGCTCATCCTGGCTGTGGATCTGGACCCGGATGCCAGCTTCAAATGATGTCTCATCTGTGAAAGGACAGAGGTGCTGCCTGCCTGCACTGACCCAGCATCTGCACTCCTCTGATGCCCTGCTTTATCTGTAGTCCCCTCACAGGGTGTTCTGCTTGCCCAGCAACCCTGCATCCTAGCATTCCTCACCTGTGCCCTGCCTGAGACATACCCCCACTTACTGGTCTCTCTCCAGATGGGCAGGTACTCCTCTTGCTGGATGTCCAGCATGATCTCCAGCCCGTTGCCCATGCCACCTTGACGGGTCACACGTGGATTCCTCCGATCCCCATTGAAGGTGTAGCACTTACCATAGCGTGTGTAGACCTGGGGATGGAGAGAGCAGCAGTAAGGGAGCAGTCAGGGATCTGATCGAGTATTCTGCAAGCAGGATGAGGTCCAGAAACTCCTTTCCAATTCCACGGAGGTGATGGAAGGAAGGTACAGTCTTGCATGACCTTTGGAAAGGCTCATTTCAGCCTGACTCCCCACTCTGCCACCCCTCTACCCTTGCTGGGGTGAGGGTGAAGCACTATTCCCAGTACCCATGGGGCAGCCCAGCTGTCCTGCGCCTTCCAGGAGGGAACTCACAGGAGTGAAGTGCTGGGGGCCACAGCGCTCTCCCTGAAAGCGACACTCCACCAGCATGTCCTCGATCTGGTGGCCCAGCCGGTGAAAGAAGCTCTGCATGGTGCGCTCAGAGTGGCGGGGCGGCAAGAAGCGTGAGTAGTTGGCCAGACGTGTCAGCCAGGCACGCTGGTCCTCCCCCAGCACGGCCAGCATCTCAGGCACCAGCGAGTGGTTCTCCTGGGCCAGCCCCAGCCACTCTCCCACCGAGTAGAGGTCGGGCTTGGTGAGGTGCAGGAAGCGTGCCCGGTTGGGGTTGCAGAGGGTGACAGCCGGGAAGCGGAGCTGGGGTGCCCAGGCGAGGCGTGCACGGGTGTGCACAGGGCGTGAGAGCAGGTGGTGCAGGCGGTCGGTGGTGCTGGTGGCCAGCAGCCCGGCAGAGGCCAGGAAGGCCAGGCTCCAGAGCAGGCGGCGCAGACGGGACTGTGGCCGGGTACACATGTAGTGCAGCCCAGGGATCCGGGTGGCTCGCAGGATGCCAACAACGAGCTGGGGAGCGCTGCTGTCCTGAGGTGGTGTCAGAACTTCCCCGTCCTGGCAGCAGGCAAGGGGGAGCGGCATGGCTGCATTCAGGGTGGCTCCTCTGGAAAGTGGGCTGCAGGCTGTCCCTGAGGCTGCCCAGGATCCCTGGTCCCCTCCAGGGATCTCTCCCTCCTGGGAGGCTTTTGCTGTGCACCTTCCTGGAGACAAACGAGGCAGGCGCCTTCCTGAGCTGCTTTGGTGATGGGTGAGGGGAGGGAGAGGAGGGGGTTGCTACAAACACGCCTTTCCCCAGGCTGCACTCAGGAATGGAAAATTCCTTCTCAAGCTGGGTTGGGACAGGGGTGTGTGTTGTCTTACCCCAGGCAAGCTGACCTGGAAGCCCCCAGTGTCCTGTATGGTGGGCATCTGTGTCTGGATAGCGATGACCTGTCTCAGGCACACTGTATGAACCCTGTGCCTAGGAATGTTATGCCTCAGCTCTTCCTCCTTGTCCCTTGCCATGCATTTCACTGCAGTCACCATAAAACACTACCTGGACCTCCAGGGTCCCCAGCTGTGTCAGCTCTGCAGCTGGGACTCAGCCCCACAGAGGAAGGACAGTGACGGCACTGGGGGTCATCACCTAATGCCAGTTCTGTGTAGGATCTTGTCTACCTTGTACCTTTGTATCCCTGTCCCTGGAGCTGGGGACCTCAGCACATCTGGGGCAGGTGGGGCAGGAGAAACAAGACTGTGGGTCAGGAGGAGTGGAACCATGGGGAGGGAGGCTGCATGGGAACCCACCTGCGTGGGCAGGTGCTTTGAAGTGTCAGCGAGGCTGTGATCAGAGCGCAGCAGTGGCGGGGGGTGTCTGTACCCAGCTGTCAGCGTGGCTGGCAGCGCCCCGACAGCCTGTCAGGTGCCTTCAAAGCTCAGCACTGCACTCAGCCTCTCATCTCCTGCTGCTGCTGCTTCCAGGCACCCACCTTCGGCATTCACGCAGCATGGGCTGGCACAGGGAGGGGTGTGTCCCTCATGCTCCACAGTCCCAGCACAGGTCAGGGCTACTGGGTCCCGTGAAGAGCAGCATCCTTGAGCTCCATTGCATCAGGGCAGGAAAAGGCCAGTGGTGGCAGGAGGGATGGGAACAAAGGGAGCTCCTGATCACCTCAGCAGTGACTTCCCAGCACCATCCTTGCCGCAGGCCTTGATGCCTGAACAACACGTACCTATAGCCACGACGGGGACACGGCCAGGATCTCATCTGGCAGCTTGGTTACAGGTGCAGAAGGACTTCAGGCAGGTCAGAAACAGGACAGGCACCGAGGGGGGCGAAAGAGGCAGCGGGCAGCACCAAAGAACAGCGGGCCCCTGCAGGCCCCGGTCCCTGCAGGCCCCGATCCCCGCAGGCCCCGGTCCCCGCAGGCC